AAGCACTCTATTAACTAAGCTACATTCCCAGTTCACTACTCTTATTATTCATAATTATTAATAGATTGAATAACTGCAGTTAATATTTATTACTTGCTATATGCTGGGTACTGTGTTAAATTTAAATTTCATCTCATTCTTGTAACAATCCTCTGAGAATGAGTTGTGGAAACTGGGGCATGATGAGTGTGAGTGCTCTGTTGAAGGTCATGAGGCTGCAGGTAAGTCTGAACCTACAATTTTACAGTTTGCTCTATTTGCCTAACAGTTACATACAACATTTTGATAGTTAGCAAGTACTCTCTAGAGAGGCTCCATATATACACATAAGAAAGCACATTAGTGCTCCTCTCCCTCCAAAGCTGCTCAAAGTAAGTTAATGGTCACTAAGAAGACAGTTTTTTCCCCCCGAGACAGGGTTTCTCCGTGTAGCTTTGGAGCCTATCCTGGCACTCGCTCTGTAGCCCAGGCAAGAAGACAGTTTTTTTTAAAGATTTATTTATTTATTATCAATACAACATCTTGCTTCATGTATGTCTGCACACCAGAAGAGGGCGCTGATCTCATTATGGATGGTTGTGAGCCACCATGTGGTTGCTGGGAATTGAACTCAGGACCTCTGGAAGAGCAGTCAGTGCTCTTAACCTTTGAGCCATCTCTCCAGCCCAAGAAGACAGTTTTAATAAGCTTGAAATATGTTTTCATTTGTTTATTGCTCTTTCCTTCTGGGAAGTATCCAATATATTCTTTTTCTATTTTGAGTTAAATGTTTATTTTCTTAATTCATATTCCATCTGAACATTGTATTAATATCTAGAGTATGAACAAATGGAGATAATTAACTAAGTTAAAAAAAAAAGCAACCTAGTTGGGCATGGTCTTTTAATCCTAGCACTTGGGAGGCAGAGGCAGGAGGCTCTCTGTGAGTTCAAGACTAGCCTGTTCTACATAGTGAGTTCTAGGGCAGTCAGGGCTATGTAGAAAGACCCTGTCTCAAAACAAAAGCAAAACTTCTACACAGAAGCAAATTCCCAGTGAATTAAAGATAATGAAATCATAAAACATAATCTTCTCTAACAGCCTTTTTCCTTACAATAAAAAATCTTTAAAAACTCTGGCTTGAGGGAGCTGGACAGTGGTGGCACACACCTTTAATCTCAGCACTTGGGAGGCAGAGGCAGGCGAATCTCTGTGAGTTCAAGACCAGCCTGGTCTAAAAGAGCTAGTTGCAAGACAGCCTCGAAAGCCACAGAGAAACCCTGTCTTGAAAAACCAACCAACCAACCAACCAACCAACCAACCAACCAAACAAACAAAAAAGGTAAAAATAATATAGAAGCCATATGAAAAACCCAGTAGTATAAGAATACTATGGTGAACCTGCTGTAGAAGCAGTCACTGGGATGCTTAAGAGGGAAGGGTGTTTTATGTTAGGACTAGTCTAGACAACAAATAGACCCTGTCTTAAACAGAAAAGTACCATGATAAATGTGTATCACTGAAGGCAATTGACAGTACCTATCTTTGGAAATTATGAATATGATAAACTTGAGTAAAACCATTTCAAAACAATTCTCTATTGGAACTGATTTTGTAATCAGGCTGACCTCAAACTCACAGAGATCCACCTGCCTCTGTCTCCTGAATGCTGGGAGTAAAAGCATGCCCCCTCCCTCCAATTCTCTAAATTTCTAAGTTTTATAAAAGCAAGTAACAGTAAACATTAGCCACATTTGCAAACTACACCAAATACATTAAAATACTGCAATAAAATGTAACAGCAAAATAAAATGGTATTTAAAAATATTTTCTTTCAGTACTAAACATTGAACCTAAGTGAGTACTCTTTTACTGGCCTCTTTTAATTTTATTTTAAACTTTTACTTTGAGACCAAGTTGACCTGGAAGGCCTTGGACTTTCAATGCTTCTGCCTTAGTCTCTGAGTCGCTGGGATTACAGGCCTGAATCACCAGGCCTAGCTAATAACATCATGTTAAAGACATCCCTTCTAAATAGAAATAAGGGGGAAATCTTTCATTCATTTGGTAGCCTTTAACTGTAGGGTATCCTGTGCATAACAGCCACCCAATAGACCTTTGTTAAATGAAATAAACGTGGAATATCCACTCCAAAATCTACGTAGAAGAATTACATTTGCCCCCCAAAATATTTCATTCATAATTTTTGTTTACAATTAAGAATGTTGTTCTTTTAACAATCAAAGAAATAGAAGACTCTTAGTGTGTGTACATGGGATAAAAACAGGTAAGGAGGCCGGGCGTTGGTGGCGCACGCCTTTACTCCCAGCACTCGGGAGGCAGAGGCAGGTGAATCTCTGTGAGTTCGAGGCCAGCCTGGTCTACAAAGTGAGTTCCAGGACAGCTTCCAAAGCTATAGAGAAACCCTGTCTCGAAAAACCAAAAAAAAACCCCCCCCCCCCCAAAAAAAAAACAGGTAAGGAGGGATGGGATAGACATACTAAGAAAAAGAAATCCTGGTAAGTTATTTTTGAAGTAATATAACAAATACAAAACGTTCCATGAATTCTCACAGCTACAACTGAGTTTTGCAGCTTATTGGCTATCTATAATGGACATATGAGCAAAGCTTTGTGTGAATAAAAGGGACACAAATATTTATTTGGGATCTTATCACTTTATAGATACACATTCATGTCATGACAATCCCACTGAAACTATACGGAAACCATACTGTGAAACTAGGGGTTTAGCCCAAGCAATAACAGGCATGGGGCAAGAAATGAACCAATGAAACAACATTCTAAAAGTAAACCCATGTCCTATGGAAGACAGAAGCCGGAGTGGAGTGTGGGGGTAGTGGCGGCATGCTATAGCTTTTCTAACAGTTTAGCTATCCACATCTGGGGTTCTATTATAAAGACAAACAGAAACCTCCATGGAGCTATAAAAGTGTCTGTTACTAAACTTCACAGCCTAAAAACATTGAGCATTTATCATGAATGGCAATAGGTAAGGAGATTCTGCCTTCTGTTTTTAAAAAGCATAGCAGAGGAAACTCATTTTCCAGTCCCCTCCCAGTCACAGGGAGCTGTTTCTTTTCTTCTCGACACACTCTGCTTGCTTGCCCTTAAGGCCAAACTATCAAAACCTCAGAAGATTAGTTTGCACTTCAAGAGTTTTCATTTTTGCACACAGAACTTCCTGTGTTGGCTTTTTCTCCCTGATGCTAGTGAAACTCAAGACCTTGTTCATATTTCCAGTCCACTCCTCCACCCCTTAAACATGCGGGTGCTTTGTTTTGTTTTTTGGTCCTTTTTCTATTTTGGACTTAGGGTCTCTCACTCTATAGCCTAGACTGGTCTTGAACTCATGACAATTTCCTTCTCCAGTCACCAAGTGTGGGGATTATAAGTCTGATCTATTATGCCTTGCCAAGCATTCTAAATTTTACTATCACCCTTGGTCCGTCCCCCCACCCCCTGCTTTTTTTCCCCCTGAGATAGGGATTTTCTGTGTAGCCTGGATGTCTTCCTGGAAAACTCTCTGTAGACCCGGTTAGCCTTGAACTCACAGAGATCTGCTTGCCTCTGCCTCCCAAGTGATGAGATTAAAAGCATGCACCACCATGACCGGCCATTCTAACTATGACAAAGCAATTAAATACTGGAAGAGGTGGAATGGGGCCTGTGAAGATGCAACAGGTTGCTCAGAGAACAGTGCTCCTAAACTTCATGGAGGAAGGAACTCAGTAAAAGATGGGTACACTGCACTGAGAGAGGAACTTATGAGTATTCCACACTGTATGGAAGGGATGTAAGCAGAGATCAAGGTCAGCAGAATGCAAAGCTGCAATACACGCCATCTGCATTTTATGGTGGCAAATATTCCACAAAAATACGAAGCTTCTAGCCGGAGGTGCTGGCCCACACTCTGAATCCTAGCACTTCCAGCACTTGGAGACAGAGGCAGGTGGATCTCTACTTAAGGCTAGCCTGGTATACACATCCAGTTCTGGGTCAGCCAGAGGTACACATTTGTGACCCTGTCTCCAAAACAAAACAAGCCCTGCAAACCTTCCTTACTATATAGAGGTTGCAAAAGTCACACTACAACTACAACAGGCCTGAGGCAATTGTATCTTTTCTTCCTCTGCCTCCTCACTTCTCTTCCTTTTGGAAGGAGGGTCTCCAGGAACTCAGGCTGGCCTCGAAGCCGAGGATGACCTGAATTTCTGATCCTCCGGCTTCTGTCTACCATGTACTGGGATAACAGGCATTCAACACCAAGTCCACCGAGGCAATGGCTTGTATCCTCAACACAAGTAATTGTGAACAGCTCCCCCATAAGAAAGCATTAACCGCAGCAATGCCAAGGAACAAAGATAAGTTTTGCCAGGAGTCAGTTCAAAACCAAAGTACCTCAAGGTATTTCTCACACACGCTCATGTTCCTCATCGTGCTGGAAAGAGAACTCAAGAGGTTGAGGAGAAAAGGGACCGTCCAATGCTTCAAAGGCCAAGAAAATGTTAAGGTGGGGTTGGGCTTAGATTTCTCTTTCCTCACCTTCCCACTACTCATGCTCTACAAGAAGCCACAAGTGAGGAAAAGAAGTTGAGGAAGCGAGACGGGGGGGGTGGAGTGAGATGGGGTTCCCAAGAGCATGCACACTTATCCCACGCAAGGTCACTTTCCCCGGCTCCCTCATGGGCTTCCCGCCAAAGATGCTCCTAGGCAGGCTGGAGGCCAGCTCGACGCACCCCCTCGGCCTCTGCATGCGGACCACAGCCCCCTCCCACTCTTCGGGCCCCGACTAGCCCTCACAGGACACCGGTTTTTGATGCCTACACCTCTCGCAGCCAGTCCCGGGGCTCCTCCGCCTCCGTCCCCTGAGGCTCCGTCAACGTCCCCTTCCTCCCTCAGGGCGCCCCTGCGCCCGCCTCCCGTTTGCAGTCCCTCCCGGGCGGCCCGCACGCCGTTCTTTCCTGCCCCCTCTCGCAGCCCTTCTTCCCCGGTGCCCACCTGGCGCCCCGGCCACTGCCCGGCTCCTGCAAGCCACGGCCTCCTCCCAAGTCCTCCCCGGCCCCGCCCCTGCTCCCGGGCGGATACAGTTTGAAGCCTCTCAGGATATCCCTGGCCCGCTCGTCCTTGGCTGACATGATGCGGCGCCTGCCGCCTGCGGCCCTCCCACGCTGGCTCGGCGGGGCCTCGCAGACGGTACCCAGGAACCGAGGACGGAGCTGTTGCCGGGCCGGACACCTCAGGCAAGCTGCGGTAGCGGCCAGACCCGAACCGGCCTCTCCCTCCCCTCAGCTCCCGCTCCTGATCCCTTCTCCTTCCCTCTAGTCGAGGAGCTCCCGCCCTGAAACCAATGGCAAGCCAGCCTCGGCGAGTGGCATCCCGAATAGCCAATAGCAACGCTCAGCGGCTTCGCTCAGGGACGGAGAGCGTCAGTGGGAAAGGCCCTCCCGGAGGAGTCCGGGAGGACCGAATTTTCATTCGCGTTGTTGCCTAGAGTTTGTCCCAGCGGAGCGGTGGCTTGAAATCTTCAGAGGCTTGAGGAGCCTGCTCCCGTCGTCGGGCACACTAGCGGTCTGAGACTATGGCAGGCTGCTCTGTGCAAGGTGGCAGAAACTACATTTCCCAGCCTCCCAGGGAGTATGCTATCCCAGTTCACCACTAGAAGCCAGGGACTACAAATCCCAGCACAACCTGCGCTCCGTCTTTCTAACTTAGGCTCCAGTGTGCCGCGCAGTGTGCGCAAATTTGGAATCCCTCTGTAGGGTTCGTTTCTGAATCCCGTTACTTGAAATCCGGCGGGAAGGTCCTTATTCTCCCTGGAGACATGACAGCCCACCGACAGTTAACTTCTGTTTACATGGAACTCAGAAGTCTGCAAACCATGGTAAGACTGCAAACAACTAACAAAACCACGGATTAAGCTTTGAAAGATAATAGAACAAAATGACTTCCTCAAATAGTGCTAGTTTATTAGTCTGGGGTGCAGTTTTACGTGTTTTGCAGGGTTTATGTTGTGTTTCAGCTTCGGACTGGGAGAGCCAAGGATTGTATACTCAATGTCAGTATAGAAGACTTAAAAAAAAGATTTGTCAGCCCAATCACTTTTATCTTTAGTTTTTAAATATGAGAAAATTGAGGACCGGAGAGGCAGAGACTGGTCACAGGTCACAGCAAGTTGAGACAGTTAGAATTCGGCTTTAAGTCTACTGACCTGCAGCGTACTCGCTTTTCACTACCCTAGCTAGGGAGGCGATATTTTTAGCAGCATGACAATGTGATTGTTTTTCTCTTTAATGACAGTTTTCCTAACTAGTGTTGAAACACCTAGAGAATAGGTAAGCGTTTATTTGGTGGATTTCCTGAACGGAACTATGGTGTGATAGTGTGATATCCTCAGTCTAATAGGTCTTGCTATTTTGATTTGCTTTTTTTGTCATTCAAGTTGACATTTAATATGATTTTTCCAGAAAGTAGGTGAAGTTATTTTAACCCGGTTTCTTTAAAGATGGCAGTGTCTTTCCCTAGGCCTTCTTTCCTATTTCTGTTTCCACTATATGCATTTGATCACCCACCCATTTTTTTCCCTTTCAAGTGATTCAGCAAATCTTTTTCTTTTTTTAATTTTTTTTTTGGTGGTTCAGGTACTGAGTTAAATGAAAGATATGTGTCACTGTCATTTGGGAGATACATAACCGTTTAGGGAGATATGGAGATTCAAGATGTAGTTCATAATGACATAAAAAAAAGACATTAGAATACCACAGAGGATTACTTCCTGTACTTTTGGTGAAGATCAAGTAGTAGACTTAGAGATGTTGATGGAGTGATTATAACAGCTGACAAAACCTTATGGTGAAAGTGGCCTTTTAACTTAAAACAGCAGTTTGTCATGGCCCCTTGACAAACCCCTATTTCCAAAAATATTTAATTGCACTTTATGAAAGTAGCAACACTATAGTTAGGAAATAGCAATGAAAGTGATTTTGGGTGTCACTACAGCATGAACTGCATTAATACGTTAAAGCATTAGGAAGGTTGAGAACCACTGACTTAAAGGATGAGGATTTTCCCCCATGTTAGATTTTTTTTATGCTTAGCTATCTTTGTTGCTGAAATATGTCATACATTTGATGAGAGGAGATACATAAACCTATCAGGACCACCTAAATCAAGATGTAGAATATTTTGAGCACTCATTATGCCCTTTTCAATCAGTACTGCATCCTCATATCTGGAGGTAATCAACCACTCTCTTGGTTTTATGGCTATTAGATATTTTGTCTGTATTTGAATTTGTATGTAGATTTCCCTATGTCTGGCTTTCTTGTTAATCAGTATTTTTGCCTTTGTACCTTTTTTATGTTGGCAACTTGTATGTATAAACCACAGTTTGTCTATTCTAAAATTGATGGGCATCTGCATTTTGTCATTGACAGGAATGCATTCTGAAGTGAACGTTCTTGTTTGCTTCCTTTTGTGGACATGCTACATAGATATTAGGAAAAACGTTGCTAGCCTTGTAGATATGTGACTGGTCAGTGGTAGTAGATATGGCCAGTTTTCCAAAGTGATTGAGAACTGAGGTTTTCAGCCACTATGTAGGAAACTTTTAGTTGGTGTTCATTCTTGTTGACACTGGGTTTTGCCACAAGTCTTTTTAATTTTAGCCAATCTGGCTAAATGTGTTATTTCTTTAAAGTATGCATTTCTATTTTTTTGATACTGACTACCTTAACTGCCTATTTGAATGGTCTTTTTGCCAACTGCCTAAGGCTTTTGCCAACTTATTTTTTTATTTGTCTTTCTACTGTTTTGTAGTTCGTTTTATGTGGTCTTACATATTTCTTTTTCTGATATATTCTTTGCAAATATCTTTTCCAAAGCTGTGGCATGACTTTATTTTCTCACTAGTGTTTTTTTAAAGATTTTAAAAATATATTTTGTATACAGTGTTCTGCTTGCATGTATATGTCTGCAGGTCAGAAGAGGGAGTCAGATCTCATTACAGGTGGTTATGAGCCACTATGTGGGTGCTGGGAATTGAACTCAGGACCTCTGGAAGAGCCCCCAGTGCTCTTAACCTCTGAACCATCTCTCCAGCCCCTCACTAGTGTTTTTTGTTTTTTGAGACAGGGTTTCTCTGTGGCTTTGGAGGCTGTCCTGGAACTAGCTCTTGTAGACCAGGCTGGTCTCTAAGTCACAGAGATCCACCTGCCTCTGCCTTCCGAGTGCTGGGATTAAAGGTGTGTGCCACCACTGCCCGGCTCCACTAGTGTTTTTTGAAATAGAAATTATCTCTTTCTCGTTGTTGTGTCAGTGTTGGGGATTGAACCTAGGACCTTGCCTATGATAGGCAATAGCTTTACTATTCACGTACATTCCGTTCTCAGTACAGATTAAAAAAATTGCTTTAGATTTAATTATTTATTTTATGTATGGGCTGGAGAGATGGCTCAGCCATTAAAGGCTAGGCTCATAGCCAAAAATATTTATTTTATGTACGTGAGTGTTTTGCTTACAAGTGTGTATGTGCACTATATGTGTGCTTGGTCTCCTTGGAGGTCAGAAGAAGGTGTCAGATCCCTTTGGAACTGGAGTTATGGATGGTTGCCATGTGTGTGGTTGGAACTGAATCTAGGTATTCTACAAGAGCAATGAGAGCTCTTAACTACTGCACTATTTCTCCAGTCCCATTTTTATTTCTAAGAGAAAGAAAGAGTTATTAAGTACATTGTAAGAGAACAACAGGCTGGGCAATAACTAGAGTACTGCCTATAACCAGAAATGACTAATTTAATAGAATACTTTAAGCTTTTTAAAAAAAGATTGCTCTTTTCATTGAATTTAAGAAATATTAAGTATATGGTTAGTAGAATTCTTATAGGAAAATATGAGAGAACATTGTAAAAATTAAAAAAATGAGACTGGGAGGAGGGGGACTAGAGAGATCTGCCTGTCTCTGCCTTCTAAGTGCTGGGATTAAAGCCATGTTCCACCATGCGTGGCTATTTCCATGTGTTAACCGCAAAAAAACAAACCAAAACAACCCCTTTCCCCAAATCTAGTTTTTCTTCCCCAATGTATTCTTTTCTATGCTTCTAATCTTTCTCATGGCACTTAATAGATTGGAGCTTTTGGAGGGCAATAACTGTTTTGTTATCATATAATCTTCTGTAATTCCTGCTACAACACAATAGATATTTAAAGTTATTTATGTGTATGTATGCTTTGCCTGTATGTATGAATGTGTACCGTGTGCATGCCTAGTGTCCCTAAGAAACCAGAAGAGGGCATTGGATCTCTCAGGGTCTGGGCTTCCTTGTGGGTGTAAGCTCCTATGTTGGTGTATGCTGCCATGCAGGTGCTGAGAACTCAACCTGAGTCTTGTGCAGCAGCAAAGGCTCTTAACCGCTCAGCCCTCTCTCCAGTCTTACATCTGCTTATCAGAATAGAGGTTAAGAATATCGTCTTTCATTTCCATGAGCCTGGATTCCAACATTGCCACTTACTGACTTGAATTGTTAGCCTTAGTTAGCATACAGGAAAATGAGAATATTTTATTTACGTCATAGTTTTATGAGAACCTGACAAGATAAATATGGACATGTGTCAAACAGAAAAAATAGTTCAATAAGTAGTGTATCAGAACTCCCGGGTAGCCGCAGCTACCTGAGGGGTCCCCTGTAAAGAAAGTTTAGCCAAAGGGGTGCTTTTTGGCCCAGGGCAGTGATGATATCAGCTACTATATAGGCCCGGAGAATTGCCTAGGCAACATTCTTTTCCTCGGGCTTTATGTTTTACTTGCTTTTCGTTCCAGTTTGGGGTCAGTAGCTGGGCAGGGACCCTCTTCTCTCGCCTCAGCATCACTCTAGGTGGGAGGTTGTGAAAGCCGAGCGGGAACATTGCGTAGGCGGAACTGGAGTGCAGCGGTGGGAGGCTTCCGGGGGAACAGCACCAGTGACGGGTCGGCGGAGACAGAAAAGCGCCGGACGCCCGGCTGATCATGGAAGCTTGACAACCTGCAGGCAGGCTCTGGGAGGCCGAGACATCGGCGAAGAGGACAGAGAGTCGGCGCGGACAGGTAGGGGACGGCAAGAGGGCAGGCCCCGCTGGTCTTGGCTGGACCTCCAGCTTCCTTCCCGCAGGCTTTCCCAAGAAAGCGGATGGCCCCGCCGCCCCGCCCCCGTTGCAGGACGCCGGGAGGTCCTCACTGTGTACTGGTGGCTAGGAGCAAGCCCACCAGTCCTGACGTCCACTCTAGCTTGCGACTGTCATCTTCCACGCGGATAGCTGCTCTCGATGCGCCCCTTCCCATAGAGGCTGTTTCCTTTGACCCTTTTTGGCGCTTCAGAATAGCGTCTTCCCTAGAGGGGAATTCATCTCCACTCCCATCTCTATCCGCTTCATGAGGAGCCTCCCACTTCAGAAGAAAAACGTCGATCACCGGCTTATTCCGTCCACCGTAGTGTCCCCACAGACTTTGCTCTTGAGATTGAGATCTTTCAGAAGCACCCGAGTTTTTCCCCATCCCCAACTCCTTTCCCACTCTGTGTCTTCCACTTAGTCTGTTGGCCGAGAGTCCCATCAGTGTTCTCAGTTGTGTCTGCATTGGGGCGGGGGCAGACGGACCAGGTTTTGTTTCTCATTTTCCAACTTAGCCGTCTTCTCACCTGACTTCCTCTTCTCCCCTTCTCATTTTCTTCTTCCATTCCTCAGTTTTCCTTTTTTCTCCTCAGAACTCTTTGTTTTCTAGCACTTCACTTTTTCTGTTTCTGACAGGATCTTAGGTAACGGTAAGTGAGGCAACACACTTTTTCTAATATCCTGAAAGGGCTCTTCTTTGATTTTTTTCATCATTCATACACACCCACTTTCATTTATTTTGTCATTCTCTTCAGTGTGTATCATTTCTGGAAAACAAATGTCATGTGGCATTCCTTTAGAGCCCATACACACTCAGAATATATTTACATTACACAATTGATGAACTCTTCTGAACCTAATATCTTGATCGATCATGACAATACAATATTGGAGAGATGGCTCAGCTGTTAAGAGCACTGGCTGGCCAGGCTGCAGTGGTGCACACCTTTAATCCCAGCACTCCGGAGGCAGAGGCGGTCGTATCTCTGAGTTCGAGGTCACTCTGGTCTACAGATCAAGTTTCAGGACAGCCAGGGCTACACAGAGAAATCCTGTCTTTTTTTTTTTTTTTTTTTTAAGGAACACTGGCTGCTCCTCCGAAGGACCTGAGTTTGAGTTCTAACACCCACATGATGGCTCACAACCATCTGTAACTGCAGTCTCTGGGGATCTGATATCCTCTTCTGTCTTGTGGATACCAGACACAAGCATGGTTTACATTCATATGTGCAGACGAAATGCTTTTGTAGATAAAATTGATTAATTAAAAAACAATGTTATTAGAATTTTGTATGAGTTCTGAAGTCATCTTTCTTTTTTCTTTTTTTTTTAAGATTTATTTATTTATTTTAGTGTTCTGTCTACATGTACACCTGCAGACCAGAAGAGGGCACCAGATCTCATTACAGATGGTTGTGAGCTACACCATGTGGTTGATGGGAATTAAATCAGGACCTCTGGAAGACCAGCCAGTGCTCATCTCTGAGTCATCTCTCCAGTCCTGGAGTAATGTTTCTTAAAATGTCTATATCAGCAGGAGGCCAAATAGATGCATTTTCTGGCTTAATGTGTTTTCTAGATTTGAATTGTCTTTTTTTTTTCTCCTTCCTTCCTTCCTTCCTTCCTTCCTTCCTTCCTTCCTTCCTTCCTTCCTTTATTCTTTGCCACAGTGTCTCTCTGTGTAACAGCCCTGGAACTCACTTTGTAGACCAGGCTGGCCTTGAACTCACAGAGATCTGACTGCCACTGCCTCCCAAGTGCTGGTATTAAAGGTGTATACTACCACCACCTAGTTAGATTTGAATTATCATTGCTTAATTTTGTAATTATTTTTCCCACTTTCCTATGCTGAAATGGCTTCTCCCCATTGCTGGGGAACCCAGTGCCTTGTGTTGTGATAGAATATTATTTTAAGGTGTGTTTCTTTTGTTTGTGCTGCATTTGTTTAACTCTGTGAAGCTGTATTATTTTGCCTGATGGTCTAATACAGAACTGAACAGCCAATAGCAAGGCAGGAGAAAGGATAGGTGGGTCTGGCAGGCAGAAAGACTATATAAAAGGAGAAATCTGGAAGGAGAAAAGAAGTAGCCAGAGGAGGAGGAGGAGGAGGACTTGGACTCGAACTTGGACTCAGACTCCAGGGGCCAGTCATCCAGCAAGCCGTGGAGTAAGAAACAAAGAAAGGTATACAGGAATAAGAAAGAAAAATCCCAGAGGCAAAAAGTAGATATAAAGTTAAGAAAAACTGGCAAGAAACAAGCTAACCTAAGGCACTTATAATTAAGAATAAGACTGTGTGTGTGTGTGTGTGTGTGTGTGTGTGTGTGTGTGTGTGTGTGTGTGTGTGTAGTCAATTTTGGACCTGGGTGGAAGGCCTCCAAAGGACCAAAAAGCAAAGAGTAAGAGCAAAGTATAAAAAAACAACATTATATGTTATGCTAAGTATCAATTTACTGTGGAGCCCTTAAAAATGAGGTTTTTTATTAAATCAAGTGTGACTCTTGTCCTCTTTGTTTCCAATATGTACCTGGCTGTAGGTGGGATTCTTTTTTTTTTATACTGTTTAATTTTATGTGCATTGGTGTGAGGGTGTCAGATTCCCTGGAACTGAGTTACAGACAGTTGTGAACTGTCATGTGGGTGCTGGGAATTGAACCCAGTCCTCTGGAAGGGCAGCGAGTGCTCTTAACCACTGTACCGTCTCTCCAGCCCCTGTAGGTAGAATTCTAATGACACAAAAATTGCCTCTATGCATGGGCAGTATTCTCTGTCTCTTAACCAGAGCCTAGAAATGAGGTAGATACAACACATAAAGAAACTCCACTGTGTCCTGGCCAGTTTTAAGAACTTAGAAGGCGCCGGGCGTTGGTGGCGCACGCCTTTAATCCCAGCACTCGGGAGGCAGAGGCAGGTGGATCTCTGTGAGTTCGAGGCCATCCTGGTCTACAGAGCGAGTTCCAGGATAGCCTCCAAAGCCACAGAGAAACCCTGTCTCGAAAAACCAAAAAAAAAAAAAAAAAAAAAAAAAAAAGAACTTAGAAGGTGATGCTTCTGAGGGCACAGATAGGGAAGTGTCATTTAGAAGGTGTATTTCAGAACAACTTCAGGATTGAGGACAGAATATCTTTAACTCTACCTTGAAGTATGCCCATTTCACAAAGTAGTTATTGTATCTAGACTGAGGGGCTGTTTTTATGAAGAGTTGTGAAACAAAAGTGTTCTTGTGTCTGATCCAGCATTAAATTCACACTTTGGAAAGGAGAAGGTGGTGGAATGACTGACACATTTTCCTTTTGGACAGATCTCAAGACCAGAGAATGGCAGGTGAACAGAAACCCTCAAGCAACCTCCTGGAGCAGTTTATTTTATTAGCCAAAGGTACCAGTGGCTCAGCCCTCACCACTCTCATAAGTCAGGTGCTGGAGGCTCCTGGAGTATATGTGTTTGGAGAACTGCTGGAGTTGGCCAATGTTCAGGAGGTAAGAATAGTTTTCAGTGTTTGTCTTCTCTATGCTGTATTTTTCTGATTCTCCAGGTTTCCAGCAAATTTCAGCATTGAAGCTTGTGGATTTGTTTGGTACCCTGTTAATTGGAATTGGTGGGAAGGAGATCAAAGGTAAGGTCTCTTAGTTTTTATCCAGTGTTCCCTTAAACTTGGATAGTAAGAAAGTCCGAATGATCTTGACTCAAGTAGTGTTGTTGTAGTCAGTTTTTGGTCATTGTACATTAAAAATGAGATTGGTTGAAGAATAACGATATGTAAATTGGGGCTAGAGAGATGGCTCTGTGGTTAAGAGCACTTGCTGCTCTTCCAGAAGACCCAGGTTCAATTCCTAGCACCAATCTGGCAGCTCACAACTGCCTGTAAGTTCTAGGGTGTCTAACACTCTCACACAGATATACATGCAGGCAAAACACCTAATGCACATAAAAAAAAAATAAAGTCATTAAACAAAGGAAATTGTTAACTGAGATAGTAGGAGAGATTAGAATGGTCACAGGTCTCCAGGTTGCAAACCTGATGATGGATATTAGGGCTGGAATTAAATTTGATAACAGACCACTTTTTGTAGACGGTAATAACAACAATCCTGGCAGTGGTGATGCACGACTTTAATCCCAGTACTCAGGAGGCAAAGGCAGCTGGATCTCTGTGAGTTCAAGGCCAACCTGGTCTACAGAGCTAGTTCAAGGATAGACTCCAAAGCTACACAGAGAAACCCTGTCTTGAAAAACCAAAAGACAAAACAATTTCTTCTCAGCCTCTACTTCTCACTTTAGACATGAATTTTTTTCTTTTGTTGTTTTTATTTTTGGATGCACTGAAGGTGGCCCCTGGTGTTCTTGGTGGTCTGCAGAAAGGATGTGTTGGTATTAGTTAGATAGTTTACCTTCATGGCCACCATGTCATCATTGCCATCTGTTGTCAGCTTTATTGTCAGAGCCAATTGTAACCTGAGGTGTTGGCTTTCAGGTTATTGGGCTCAGTACTATTTGTCCGCTTATTTCTCTTGATTGGGGAACTAGAGTTACTGTGACAACCTTGCATGTGGCTCTTCTTCCTATGATGGCCAGGATGGAAATGGAGCCACTGTTAGAATTTAAGAAAAGCAGCATGTGAGAGAAAGATGCCATGAGACAGGGTTCAAGCAGAGGGTTTTTGTTTTTTTTTTATTTTTTATTTTTTATTTTGGTTTTTTCAAGACAGGGTTTCTCTGTGGCTTTGGAGGCTGTCCTGGAACTCCCTTGGTAGTCCAGGCTGGTCTCGAACTCACAGAGATTCGTCTGCTTCTGCCTCCCAAGTACTGGGATTAAAGGCATGCGCCACCAACGCCCGGCTGTTTTTTTTAAATTAGGGAAAGGGATCATAAAAAGGGGAAAGGGGGGGGGGAACCAGCCTCTGGAGAGGGGAGAGAAGAAAGAGGGAGAGAAAGAGGATGGAGGGGAGGGAGAGGAGGATGGGAGGTGGGCAGGGCCCTTTTAAAAGGGAACGTAGTGAATATGCAAAGCTGGTGCTCTTAGTGGCTGCAGCTGAAGATGTCTTCTGTCAGAACCCCAAGGACAGGCCAGTACAGATGCCCAAATACTAACAGCCACTTAATTTTCTTTTTTTTGAGACAGGATCTTGTTTGTATTGTGGCCTTAAGCTTAGCATGTAGCTGAAGATGAGTTGAACTTCCAGTCCTTCTGCTCTGGGATTATAGATGTATACAACCACATCTGGTTTTATTTGGTGCTGACAATCGAACCTAGGGCTTCATGCATGCATGGTAGGCAAGCACTGTTCCAATGAGCCACATTCCCAGCCAGCCTGACTTATTTTGTTAATTGTAACAAATCGGATTTTGTTTTTTTCAAGACAGGGTTTCTCAGTAAAGTCTTGGTGGGCCTGGAACTCACTCTGTAGACCAGGCTGGCCTCAAATTCACAGAGATCTGCCTTTCTCTGCCTCATGAGTGCTGGACTAAAGGTGTGCACTCCACTGCCCAGCCCAATTACAAATTTTTGTTTCATGTAGTTCTTGCTTGTTATACTAGGGTCTGTGAGGATAAAGTCTTTTGTGCTTTTACTGTTGCTTCCTTGGGCTGAGTACATGGTCTGACACATAGTAGACTTTCAGTAAAGATTTGATCAATTCTTTGAGGAGGATTTGAGAATTAGGCCTTTTGTTTTGTTTTATTTATTTATTTATTTTTTTGAGACTGACTCTCATGTTTCCTAGGCTGGCCTTGAACCTGTTCCTCCTGCTTCTACCAACCATGTGCTGGGATTACAGGAGTGTGCCACTGTGCTTGGCTGGGCTCATTTTTCAATAGAAAAGCTGATCAGCTGTAATGTGTTTCTTCAGATTCATAAAAAACCTGAATGAACATGCCAAGTAATTTTTTTTTTTGACTGTTGAAAACTAAGAAGAAATGGGTGGACAAACAAGCTGGCAAGATTTAGCCAGTCAGAAAAGTTTTGGAGTATCTGCCTTAGAGAAAATAGTCTATTCCAGCTAGCTTTGTAATTGTGTGAAAAGTAGGGGCTTGATTCAGAGTTCTTTACTGTATCTCTTCCACTCTGATCCTGAGACTTGAGGAAGTTCATGATAACTTGAAAGGGCAGCTTAAGGTATATAAGAATGCTAGCACTCACATTGGTACTTACTGGGGCTTAGCAAATCACCTTTATCTGCCTGCTGTTTCTGTTGTTCCTGTTTTGAGCCAGGAATAAGCTAGTTGCTTTTCAGCATTCTGAAATTATGGATGCAATTACTGGAATTCTCTTTTCAGATAACTACAATAGAATAGTGTTGTTCTTGTGTTGCTTCATGGACTTTGGTGAGTTGGAAGAGGTGGTGTGTGTGTGTGTGTGTGTGTGTGTGTGTGTGTGTTATTGAGGATTGAACCTACACTATTCTGCATGCTAAGCAGGTGCTCTGCCACTGAACTATGTGCAAGTCTTCAAGTCTTCCTTTTACTTTTATTTTGAGCCGGAGTCTTGCTAAGTTTCCCAACCCTGTAGTTCAGGCCGGCTTTGAACTTGTGATCTCTTTCCTTTAGCTTTACAAGTAGCAGGGATTATAGGCTTGTGTGACTCAACTCAGCTGCTTTTTGTGTTTTCCACCATGGATGTCATTTTGCTACCAGCATAAGTGAAATAAATTAATTAATGAGCATTTTTATTTGACTCAGGGAAATAACTGTTCCAGTATAGCCCTTCTGTCACACCTTACTTATGCTGTGCTAGTGTTGCCAGGGTTCATAGTTCATATTTAGTGCTGAGACTTGGAACTAGCCACACAGTTTGTTCATATTTGATTGATAGTGGATGCCACAATACTAAGTTGGGGGCTGGCAAGATGGTTCAGTAGGTAAAGGTGCCACATAAGCCTGATGACCTGCGTTTGATCTCCAAGAACCTTCATAAAGGTGGGAGGAGAAAGTGGATTCCACAGAGCTGTTCTGTGATTGTACACATGTGCACTGCATACATGACCACACATACACATTATCCATATATCATACACAACAACAATGAAACAAACAAAAAGGATACCAAGTTGGCATGCAGATAGGACCACTACACTCTTGTTTTTTCATCTGAGACAAGTTCCTATTTGCAAGTCACCCAGGCTGACATTGAACTCAGCAGGTGGCTGAGGGTGGTGCTGAACTCCTCCTGGCCCTGCTGTGTCTACCTGCTGAGGATTGCAGGCATATACTAAACATGCCAGTTTATGCAGTATGAATTGAACCTGGCTCCGTGCATTCGAGGCAAGACTCCCCAGCCTTCAGGGTTTGCTTTTTTTTTTTTTTTTTTTTTTTTTTTTTTTGGTTTTTCGAGACAGGGTTCCTCGGTGGCTTTGGAGGCTGTCCTGGAACTCGATCTATAGACCAGGATGGCCTCGAACTCACAGAGATCCGCCTGCCTCTGCCTCCCAAGTGCTGGGATTAAAGGCGTGCGCCACCAACGCCTGGCTCAGGGTTTGCTTTTAAGGCAGGGGAGATTCTGAGAAGACTTGAACTGCTTCTAGTGCATAAAGCTTTGTGGTGGAGTGGCTGGCAAAGGGGCAGGGAGAAAGGGAGGAGAAGCTACTTGAGTGTCTTCTATGTTGTGCAAAATGTCTTCCTGAGGACAGACATTAAATAATCTTGTTTAGTTTTTCTCCAAGAATCAGAAGTGGAAAGAACCTTAGGAACTTCCTAAACAAACAGTATAGAAGAAATGGACATGATGTCTTTGGCATTTGGTCACATGTCCTCTATTAGAATATTGTAGTGATTAGTGGAAATTTGTTGTGCGGTAAACTTTTCTTTTCCTTCCTCAGCTTGCAGAAGGAGCTAATGCTGCATATTTGCAGTTGCTGAACCTGTTTGCCTATGGAACATACCCAGATTACATAGGTGAGTTGGTTAAGATCCTTCAGAAGATCTTAAGATTGTCTTAATTGTTGAGCTGTTTGTAGGGTAGTTAAGGTTTGAGTTATAATATATGGGTGTGGGCAGAGTAGGCAGGTCTAATTATTGACTTGACTATATCTCCATCTTCTGTGTTCTGAAGGTAACTTCACAAAAGGATTTCCCTGATAACCTTTTAATTTCCTAGGCATAAAATGGGGATTATGTGTGTGTGCATCTATGAACATAGCCCTTGTTTATTTCCCATATCAGTGTCTTGAGAATTAGTGTTTGTAGGGCACTCAACTAGCAAAATAATCCAGTGTTTTATCTATCTATCTATCTATCTATCTATCTATCTATCTATCTATCTATCCTACCTACCTACCTACCTACCTACCTACCTACCTGAGACAGGGTCTTACTATGTAGCCCTGGCTGGCATGGAACTCACTATACAGAACAGGCTGGCTTTGAACTTATAGAGATACACCTACCTCTGCCTCCTGAGTGCTGGAACTAAAGGCATACTTCATCATTCCTGTCAGTTCAGGGTTTTCAATGTTATCAAAAGTGTTTTGAGGGGTGCTGGTGAGATAGCTCAGCGGGTAAAGGCACCTGATAGCTTGAGTCCAATCTCTAGGACCTACATGGTAAAAGAACTGACCCCTGCAGGTTGTCCTCTGACCTCTACAGTGCACACTGTGGTATGTGCATACACACACACACACACACACACACACACACACACACACAATTTTAAAAAAGTTCTTGTTATGCTTTCTTTGTTGAGATAGGCTTATGTATAACATAGGATGGTCTTGACCTCAAAACTCTCCCGCTTTATTCTCTTGAGTGCTGAGATTACAAGGATGACCCACCATGCCCAACTTGAATGTTACCAAATAAGATTACTATATTGAAGAAAATTTGGAAAATTATAAAACGTTATAGACCATTAAGTTACCATTAGGATTATGATGCTAGGTGTTTTTTTCCCCTTCTGCTTGTTTTGTGTTGTATAAGTGTAATTACACTGTGTATGCAGTCTCATCATAGTTTGCCTTTTCCAGATCTTTGTCCCATTCATATTTAAGATATTTAATAAATTTGAGTCTTGCTGTGTTGCTGATTTCAAACTCTGGTTGCTTCTGCCTCAGCCTCCCAGTTTCTCATCTTACAGATGTGTATCATCAAGTCTGCACTTGTTTTTACTGCTTCATAGCAAACCACTGTGCCACTGAGATACACTCCTAGCCCATTTTGGTGTTTCAACTAAATTAATTAATTAATTTTTGGGGGGGTTCGAGACAGGGTTTCTCTGTAGGCTGTCTAGAACTAGCTCTTGTAGACCAGGCTGGTCTCAAACTCACAAAGATCCACCTGCCTCTGCCTCCCCACTGCTGGGATTAAAGGAGTGCACCACCAACGCCCGGCAAATGTTTTTATTTTAATTCACTTATTTTTTGTTATTTTTTTGGTTAAATTTCTTATACAATATATTTTAATCTTATTCTTTCCCCTCTAACTCCTCCCAGATCCTTTCCACCTACCTCCCTATTCACTGAACTGAACTTCATGGTTTCTCTCTCTCTCTCTCTCTCTCTCTCTCTCTCTCTCTCTCTCTCTCTCTCTCTCTCAAAAAAGAAAAAAACAAAAAACAATAAGATAAAAAATGAAACAAAACAAAAACAAAGCAAAAAGCTCTCAAAAAACCATGGAGTCCATTTTGTGTTACCTCACTACTCCTGGACATGGAATCTGCCTGGAGTACGGCTGACATACTCAGTGACTCTCCATTGAAGAAAACTCATTTTCCCTTTCCCAGCAGGCATCAGTTACAAACAGCTTCTTGGTTAGGTGCGAGGCCTTGTGTCTATTTTCCCTCTCAGTGTTGGGATTTTGTCTGTTTTGAACCTGTGCTGGTTTTGTGTCTGTTGTCAGTCTCTGTAAGTTCATATGCACAGTGGTCCTGTTCTGTCTGGGTGATAGCTTTTCCTTGGAGTAGTCTACCACTTCTGGCTCTGAAAGTCTTTCCACTTCCTCTTCTGTGTAGATCCCTGCACTTTGAGGGGAGAAGAGTCTGATGAAGACATCCCCTTTGGGACAAGTGCTTCCAAGTCTGTGGGTCTCTGTGTTAATTACCAAGAAGAAGCGTCTCTGATAGGGCATTTAAATTATAATCATAAATCAGGAGTGGGCTGGCAAGATGGTTTAGCAGATGATAGTACTTGCTGTGCAAGGCTGACAACTTCTGTTCAGCCCTGACTCTGGAAAGTTGTTCCCTGACCCCCACATGCACATTGTAGCACAAATGTGCACACACACACACATTATGCACACCCACACAATAGTAGTAAGTAAAATATGAAGAAACATGAAATAATCAGGAGTGAGGTACTTGCATATCCAAATGTTACCCTTTAGCCGGGCATTGGTGGTGCACACCTTTACTCCCAGCACTCGAGAGGCAGAGGCAGGCGGATCTCTGTGAGTTCGAGGCCAGCCTGGTCTACAGAGAGAGTTCCAGGACAGCCTCCAAAACAATACAGAGAAGCCATGTCTGGAAAAACCAAAAAAAAAAACAAAAACCCAAAAACCAAAAAACCAAACAACAACAACAACAAAAAACAAATGTTGAGCCGGGCGTTGGTGGCGCACGCCTTTAATCCCAGCACTCGGGAGGCAGAGGCAGGTGGATCTCTGTGAGTTCGAGGCCAGCCTGGTCTACAGAGTGAGTTCCAGGACAGCCTCCAAAACAATACAGAGAAACCCTGTCTCGAAAAACCAAAAAAAAAAAAAAAAACCAAAAAAAAAAACAAATGTTACCTTTATTTGTAACTACCTTTATTTTTCTGTCTTTCTTAGTTTCATTTTCCTTTCCTTTCATCTCCTCTTCCTCTCTCTCCTCTTTTGATACTATGAAAGTAACCTGGTATTCAAGACTCCCTCTCCTGTTTCTTTGGCATTCCTTCTTCTCTCATTGACCACTTGTACTTACTCTGTGTCACTGTCCCATTGAAGAATTTGCCCCTTCTGGGTACGGGACATATTTTGTCACTGTCTAAGGAGGCAGCATTACACAGATTCTAGAACCAGACTGTCTGCGTTAGATTCTAGCTCCAGTTCTACTAGTTGTGTCTTTTAGTAAATTAAATGATCACATGTGTACCTCAGTTTTCCTATTTGTAAAATGAGAGAAATTTTACAAAAATTTTTAAAAAGATTTATTTATTTATTATGTATATAGTGTTCTGCCTGCAGGTCAGAAGAGGGCATCAGATCGACTTAGGGATGTTGTAAGCCACCATGTGGTTGCTGGGAATTGAACTCAGGACATCTGGAAGAGCAGCCAGTGCTCTTAACCACTGAGCCATCTCTCCAGCCTCTTGTTTTGTTTTTCAAGGCAGGGTTTCTTTATGTAGCCCTGGCTGTCCTAGGATTCACTCTGTAGACCAGGCTGCCTTTAAACTCACAGAAATCCAACAGCCTCTGACTCCCAGGTGCTGGGATTAAAGGCATGTGTCGTGTCTGTGGTGTGTGTGTGTGTCTGTGTGTTGTGTGTTTGTGTGTCCTGGCATATGAGTCTTTAGGCTAAATATTTTCAGGATTTAGAATTTTGTGAACTTAAAAATGTAACATGTGGCTGGAGAGATAGCTGTTAAGAGCACATGCTGCTTTTTTTGGTTTTTGAGATAAGATTTCTCTGTATTGTTTTGGAGGCTGTCCAGGAACTAGCTCTGTAGACCAGGCTGTCCTTGAACTCACAGGTATCTGCCTGCCTCTGCTTCCGGAGTGCTGGGACTAAAGGCGTGCACCACCCGCCAACGCCCGCCTTACATGCTGCTTTTGCAGAGGGCTGGAGTTCAGTTCCCAGCACCCACATCAGGCAGTTCAGTATCTCCAAAACTCCAGTTCCAGGAATCCAATGCTGCTGGCCTCTAAAGGTACCTGTACACGTGCAGATGCACACACACAGACACACGCACATAACTACAATCAATAAGATGTTTTTAAGGAAAGGTAATGTGATGGATGTGCCTTTTCTGTGAACTCATGGGGTGTGGCAGTAGCTGGCATTAAACACACTCATTATTTTCCCACAGAGCAGGTGCATATTCACAAGTAGGGTAAAACTGGAGTCAGTTCAGGGCAGGAATTGCTGCTTGATGCATTTCAACAGGATGCTTAGGAAAAAAATTCAGCCAGATGGTGGTGCACGCCTTTAATCCCTGCACTCAGGAGGCAGAGGCAGGTGGATCTCTGAGTTCAAGTCTAGCCTGGTCTCAGAGTGAAGTTACAGGATAGCCAAGATTACATGAAGAAGCCCTGTCTCGAAAAACCAAAAGTCAAATAAAACAAAATTGAGTGTCTTGGAGTTCAGAATTACGGTTAAAGAGGCTGAGGGCATTTGAAGTCTTGTCTCACGGAGTGGCTGTGAGGATGAGCTGCATGTGCATACGGGTGAATTGGACTGGGTGTGCTCTGTGACCGTGGTGACTATGTCATGTGTAGCTGTAACTGTGATCATTGATGTAATTACTAATTTTGTTCATCCCTCAAGGTTCATCTCAAATTCTTCTTCCATGAAAGCTTTTTGTTTTTTTGTACTTGCCAAATGAGATTGTATTTGTTTGTTCTTTCTCTGTCCCCTTTTTTCTTTTCTTCCTTTAGTCTCTTTGTCTTCCCTGCCCTCTACCTATCCTTTCTGGTAGTTTTATCTTTGCATTTGTAGATAGGGCAACATCTGATTGTAAGACTGAGGATTGTAAGACTGAGGATGGACTTGGTGGCTTACACCTGTATCCCAGCACTTGAGAGGCAGAGGCAAAAGCAGGTGGATCAGGAAGTCAAGGTTATCCTTGACTACATGAGCGTCAGGCCAACCTGTGTTAACGTAAAACCCTGTCTCAACTCCTTTTCCCTCAAAAAAAAAAAAATTAGCAATAAGACAAACCCGAGAGTTATTGAGTTATGTCACTCCACATAGTTGGTGCTCCTGGAGTTGTGTGGTACAGTCCTGGACAAAGCCCTGAGTCTTATTCCCTGAATCCCTGTAAGACATATGTATATTGCACATAACATGCTCAATGAAGGTATGTTGAACTTAATTGAGTTTCACAAGGGGCACCAACAGTTTCCCACTAAGATAGCTCATCATGTCATTTGTTTGTTCATATCTGGCTTTCATACTAAACTCCTGTGTAGAGACTGAGTCTTTGCTCCCTGGGAACATATGTTCTGGCAGAGAAGGTAGGGGCTGCTGAGCGAGTGCGCACAGTCATGACAGTGATCCAGTAGTAGATTTGGAGGGGGCGGGGGTTTATGAGCTTATCCTAAAAATAAATCCTAATTTTATTTTGTGTCTTGATTTTTGTGGTGGGTGGGACTGAGCAGCCAACAAGGAGAGCCTGCCAGAACTGAGCGCAGCTCAGCAGAACAAGTTGAAACATCTTACCATCGTGAGTTTGGCATCAAGGATGAAGGTACTGTCCCAGACTTTTCTTGTCTTTATCTGAACCCCAGCTCAGGTATCTTATTGGCATCAAAGAAAGACTTTGCAGCTAGTCATATCCTAAATGTGTGAAATGTGCTTGGCAGATAAAAAGATAACAACTAGGGGCTGAAGAGATGGCTCAGTAGTTAAGAACACTAGCCGGTCTTCTCGAGGTCCCGAGTTCAATTCCCAGCAACCACATAACCATCTGTACTGATATCTGGTGCCTTCGTCTGACCTGCAGGGATTCATGCAGACAGAACACTATATACATAATAAATACATAAATCTTTAAAAAATTTACTAAAATTTGTGGACAGTCACTTCCCGTTCTGTTTTGGAAAAGCAAGCCCAGCAGTCATTGATCGATTCGTTCTGGCAAGCTGTGCGACTTCATGCAGGGAAAGCACTTTGCCAGATTAAGAGGAGCCTGCTGCTTAAATGCTTTTAAAAGATACGTCTACAGCAGGTATCTTTTTTTTGACTGTTTTTGTTATGGTGATATCCACTCTCACTATGTGGTCCAGGCTATCCTCATTATGTTGCACAAATTGACCTTACTTACAATCATGGCAATCCTCCTGCCTTAGCCTCTCATACATACTGGGTTAAAGGTGTGTCATACCATGCTTGGCCTTAGTAAGGCTTCTTACAGCAAGTTAACAGCTTCCTGAATTTCCTAGTGTACTAAATTCATTGCACTAATGCTAAAGGAATGACTTGCTATGCTTGGCTGAGTGGATTTTACTTATTTTGGTGATGCTGGGGATTGAACTTAAGACTTGTGCATGTTAGGCAAGTGCTTCTTATCCTGGAGCCACAACCACTCACTTGTTCAGGTATATTTCTTTTCTTTTTTCTTTTGAGACAGGGTTTTAATGTGTAGCTCTGGCTGTTATGGAACTCGTTCTGTAAACCTGGCTGGCTTCAAACTCACATAGATCCACCTGCCTCTGCCTCCCAAGTGCTGGAGTTAAAGGCATGTGCTTGCCTGGCAAGATAGATATCTATTCTGTGGGATTTTCAGGGTTAACTGCATTAATTGGATTTTTAAAAAATGCCTTATCTACTAACTTTGTTTTTATTTATTTAATTTTCATATGCCAGTGTTAGGAACTATCCTGTCAAATTCCACCACATCATAACTGCAGGTTTTCTGCTTCGGTCAGTTTAGAAGAAGCCTTGCAGCTAGTAACTTTCAGCTTTTAACAGAGAAGGGCCAGACTCCATTAGTTTATAGTTGGTTTTGGCTCGCCTCTTCCTTACTTGTGTCTGTCTCTGTGAGAATATGCCTTTGACAGGGTGGCTTTTCTCCTGTGATCAAGAGCTGTGTGTTTGATGTCTTTTCATTGTTAATGTAATTGTATCTGATCTAATCCTGGATTTCCGGTTGTTAGCCTAGTGTTTCAGGCGGGAGGCTCCTCCTTGCTTTCTGTCCTTCCCTCCTTGTTGTGGAGATTAACTCGGGATTGGAGCTCAGTGCCTTGTGTGTGTTGTCTGCTGCTCCACCATTGTGCCACTCTCGTGGCCTAGTCAGCCCTGTTTTCCTGGTGGATGGGGGCACAAGTACCTTTTTCTTTTCCTGATCATGGACTCTCAAGCATGCTAAAGAGTAGGAAGACCGCTTCTTCCTTCGAAGCCTGCATTTGATACCCATCTGCCACCCCAGAGAGTGTGCTTTAGTCCACAGAAAACCCTTGTAGGTGTGCTTGCTGTGTTTCTCTCCTGTGCTCACCATCCTCCTGCCCCCTTCTACCTATCTAATCACTTTATTTCTAAGCTAGTCTGGTATCTCAGGATTTGTACAGTACATGTATTCAGATACAGTTTTTAGTATGAAGGGCTGTATTGGAGAGTTGATATGGGTTGCAAGAGTTTGAGAAACAAACACAAACTTTAGGATAGCTTCCCTGGCCACTCTAGGTAGTAGATATGCTGGCCTCAAGGTGATTTTGTTGTTGTTGTTGGTGGTGTGTATGAGTGTGTGTGGTTTTTGTTTATTTGTTTGTTTTGCTATGCTTCTACTGGACAAACTATCAGCTCAGTGTTTGGCATCTGTTTGAGGCTTGCAACCATTCAGCATTTTATGCAGTCTTCAAGCCTCCATTAGGTGGCAGTGTAGCACATACTGAATATCTTTCCTGCCGAAGGCTTGTTTAGCATCTATCATAGTATGAATGTGGAGGTTGAGAACTAGGTGAAGTCCAGGATATAGAGAACTAGGAAGGTGCTTTCTTGGGGGCTGTAGGGTCTTGTTTGGGTGTCACAGGTTCCACAGTTTATTTATCCACCTCCTATTGTCTAAGATATTGATGATTATCACTGGCCTGCATTGCCTAAGCACAGAGAGACAGCTATTGCCTTTGTGGGTAATACTTGAATGTTTTTGTTTCTTTACAATGCTTGCCAAGTGGTTTCTATAACTGTCATATGACCCATCTACAGTGTATCCCCTACTCTGTGCTGCTGAAGGACCTGGAGATGAGGAATCTTCGGGAGCTAGAAGACCTTATCATTGAGGCTGTCTATACTGACATCATCCAGGGCAAGTTGGACCAGCGAAACCAGCTGCTGGAAGTGGATTTCTGCATTGGCCGTGACATCCGAAAGAAAGATATCAATAATATTGTCAAGACCTTGCATGAGTGGTGAGCCTGGGAGATGGAGGGGAGCTTCTAGTGTGCCCTTTGTGCCTCTCTTTACAAAACTGTGACCTTCAGAAGTCAGCCAAGTGTTTGTGGTAGGCCTTGCGGGCAGCCAGGAAAACTGGACCTTAGGACACATAGACAGAGAATAGGGCTGCGTTTGTAATTACAGCTGTGTGACAAAGGAGTCATCCCAGCCTTCCTTGTGCCTGGGTTGTAAAACTGTCTTTAAATGCAGCAGGTTTGTTTAACAGTGGGCTATAAACTGTTTATGTGGAGATGCAGGTAGACTCTGCATCCTAACTGTGTGGCAGTAAGTCTGTACCTTCCAAACATAAACTCAGTTTGATCAAGATCAGGAAGTTAATGTTAAGCTAGTTAGTGCTGGTGGCACATTGTGAGGGATGTATCAGTGAACAGGCTTTGTGATTTGGAACACAGATGCATAGAGTATTTAACAACTGTCTGATTATATAAAGAATTGGGCAACTGGGTATGGTGGTACATGCCTATAATCCCAGCACTCAGGGTGCTGAAGTAGAAGGATTATGAATTGATGGCCAGTTGGAGAATCTAGTTTCCAACTGACCCCCCTGCCCCCCAAAAGTAAATTAATTTAGGAAGAGAACTGGGACTCTGAGATGTAGTCTTATTTTAGTGGAATTTGATGTTTGCAAAAGTGGTTATATGTTCTATAAGGATTTGCTATGGGATTTAAGTGATTTGGAGCTTATGAAGCCAGAGCTTCTTAGGGTACCATGAGGAAGAGTTGAGGGAGAGAGCATTATTGGGAGTGGTGAGAGTGTCCCATATAGGGGTGTATCATGCTGTATATCATTAAGGAAAGTGGACAACTTTGTGCTGGAAGATAGGGAAATTTGCTTTTTTTTGTGGGGGGGGGCAGGGTAACAGGGATTTGTTCTCTAGCCCAGGGTTGCCTGGAATTGTGTATCCCAGGTTTGAGGGATACATGGTTTAAACCCAGTTTAAGGTTTGCCCTAAACTCTGACTTTGCCTCCCAAGTGCTGCCACACCCAGATTTTTTTTTTGAAGATTTATTTATTAGTGGTACATACCTTTAGTCCCTCAGAAGGTAGAGGCAGGAAGATATCTGTGAGTTGGAAGCCAGCCTTGTCTACAGAGTGAGTTCCAGAATAGCCAATGCTATATAGAGAAACCCTGTCTCAGGGCAAAAAAAAAAGTATTTTATTTTATAAGTGTCTTCCTTTCATGTGTAGGAGGGCACTGTGGGTTTATCTGTCACCCATAGAGGTCAGAAGAGGGCATCAGATTCCTGGAACTGGAGTTATGGATGCTTGTGAGTTTATGCATGAGTGCTGGGAACTGAACTTAGATCCTCTGTGAGAGCAGCAAGTATCCTAACCATTGAGCCATCACTTCAGCCACTAAAAGCTCACAGAATTCCTATTTAGGTGTTAGAGGTGATTTAGAAACAGAATTATTGTCCTGAGAGATAAGTACAAATATGGCAAAATGTTGACCATATGGCTGGTATGTGAATATTCATTATATCACTTTTCCAAAACTTTTGTTTCTGAGAAAGGATCTCAGTTTGCAGACCTGGCTGGTGTTGACCAGTCTAACCTTGAACTCCGTAATCTGTCTGCCTCTGTTTCCTGAGTGCTGGAATTAAAGGCTATGTCACCGAGCCCAGTCTGTTTTTAAAATTTTTAAATAAAAAGTGGGAAAATAAAAGTGAGAATTTGTTGGTAACTAGGAAATAGCTTCAAATTCTCAAGAAAAAGGCAGTCTCTAGAATTGTATGCTTTCAGAAAATGTATTTTCTCTGTTGGAGAAAGGGATCAGTCAGGGTTACCTATAGCGTTTGTCCCTCATTCAGACTTAGTCTGTACAGCTGTCTCTAGTGGGCTGCAAAGGCTGGAAACTGGAGCTGCATTCCAAGAAACTCCCCACAAGCCACTGTGTCTATGAACTTGTTTGGAAGGAGAGAAGGGGCTGGTGCAACCATTTGGCTTCACGGCCGTTTATGGCTGGGTGTCTCCATTGCAGGTGTGATGGCTGTGAGGCAGTTCTGTTGGGCATTGAACAGCAAGTTCTGAGAGCCAACCAGTACAAAGAAAACCACCACCGGACTCAGCAGCAGGTGGAGGCAGAGGTAAAGAGAAAGGGGACATTTGTTCCTCTCTTTAGGCCTAGATACTAGTTTGCAGTGTTTTTGTTTTTGTCATGTGCTTTCATGTGAATGCAACAAATAGCCCCTAAATATGCCTTGGGTTTGGTACTGGAATGTAGGGATTTAGCAGAGACTATAGGATACGTAATTCTCCAGTGTACACACACTTTGCAGCTACTGAGGAAGAGAAATGTTGGAGATGTGTTTTAAAAATGGATAGCTGGAGAGATGGCTCAGCAGTTAAGTGGGTTCACTGCTCTTGCAGGACCAGCACCCACAAGGCAGCTCATCACCTGAAACTCCAGTTTCAGGGGATCCAGTGCCTTCTTCTGGCCTCCATGGCTTGCTCTCACATGTACACAGATATATGCTCAGGCACACTCATATACACATAAAATAAATATTAGAAAATATTGAAATTTGAAGGAAATGTGAGGAAAGGGCAAGGTTACCTCTTCATACCAGTTAAGTAACCTATTAAGTACTAGTTTGTTTGTTTGTTTTTTGAAACAGGGTTTTTCTGTGTAGTCCTGACTGTCCTGGAACTTGCTTTGTAGACCAGGTTGGCCTCAAACTCACAGAGATCTGCCTGCCTCTGCTTCCCAAGTGCTGGGATTAAAGGCGTGTGCAACCACCACCTCGCCTTAATTACTAGCTTTTTTTTAAATTTAATTTTGTTTTTTAAAATAATGTTTAAATTTTATTTTACAAACCCATCCTAGTTCCCCTTCCTCCCCTTCTTCTACTCCTCCCATGGCGAGTCAACAAAGTCACATTGAGTTGAGGCAGGACTGAGGCTCTCCCCTCTGTATCTGGGCTGAGCAAGGTATCCCTCCAAAGGGAATGGGCTCCAAAAAGCCAGCTCATGCAATGGGAATAAATCCTGGTTCCACAAGTACTGGCTTTCTAGGAAACTTAGACAGACTGATGTAGGAGAGAGGGCAGAGTACAGAGCCTTGTTGATGGTTCTCATCATCCCCTGGCTGAGCCACGCTTCAGCTTATGGTATCCTCACCTGAACACGTGTCTACAAAGAGCAAAGGAGACTCTGTGACCTTCTGTGGTGTTGCTTCTCTTATGCTTGACTCAGATTTATCACCATTTTTTCAACTGAGTAGGTGAGATATAATTTTTCCCATTTGTCCTTAAATTACATTGCTGTTCTCAAAGGGGAGAAACTTGGTGTTTTCCTTCCAAATCTTAGAACAAATACTTCCTGGTGAGTTGTGCCTTCTAGAGCCTCCCTCCGAGTTCAGTCACCTATGACAGAATGCCTAAGAATTATCTCGTTTTAGCCTTTTATAGAAATAACATTATTTAAATATAGTAGCATTCCAAGGCTTTGCAGTGTCTCTGAGCAGGCATTCTGGGGGGAAAGGAATGATGGCTTGCAGCACCAAAAAGATCCTCTTCATTACATTTGCTTTGGAATCTGTTTTTCTTTATATTTGAATGTGCCTGCGTATGGTGTTCTGTGGAATGTTAATATATAGCTATTGTTACACATTCACAAAATAGGCTATGTTCCCCTCACGTAGGTAATAGAACAAGAGTAAATGCTATTTTTTATTGTGTAGAAAATCCCTCAGGAGTTAAGTTGTTACAGTGTGCTAAATCCATGCCTCCTGGGTACCTTATAGAGAGCAATTCTTACCATTGCTCACGTGTCTATAGCATTTTCTGTGGGCTTGATTTCTGTTTGCTCTTTTTTGCTTTTTCTTGCTTTTTAAAATTCATCCCAGGCTCACTTCAAGCTTTCTATCCTCCTGCCTCAGCCTCTGGAGTACTGGGACTATACTTACCTGTCACCACACCTGTCTGTCTCTCACACCTGCCCTAAGCTCTCACATTCCCTCCCCAAATTTCCTCCCCTGGGGAGCTCTTTATTTCTCTTGCTTGTCTTAGGGTCTCTGATCTCTGATAGTACCAGGCTACATTTTATTAACAGGTGTGCCCCACTGAGAAATTCCTGGTGCCTGTGCTTTGAAAAGCTCTATGAACTCTAGATTTCCCATGTAGGGGTGGGACAGAGGCAGCCTCTAAACCTGTCCTTGAGGAAGGAAACCTGAAAGATTTAGGTCAAAGAAGACATACTTGTGGGAGTCCTTGTTATCAAATTGGTTAGAAAGATGTGTTGCAGATGACTGGGTACCTTCAAGTCTTTGAGGCTAAAATGGGTTTAGCTGGTAAACCTGCCTGGCAGCTGTTCTTGAGTACTGGACATGAGTGTCTACACTCAGTCCGGTGCTGCCTGGCTGGAGCACTAGTTGTCATTGTCTGTCTTTCTGTCTGTCACCTATTTTTCTCCCTTTGTGTGTATATTTGTGGGTACAGGTGCCCAGTGAACTACCTCAGGTGTCATTCCTGGGTACTTTCCTACTGTTTTTTGAAACTGAGTCTCTCCTTGACCTGGAAATCTCCAAGTAGGCCAGGCTAACTGGTTAATGAGGACCAGGGATCTATCTCTGCCACCTGAGCACTGGAATGTAAATGTCTTCTACTATGCTTGGTATTTTGTATGGGTTCTAGAACCAAATTCCCCTTGTGCTTGCAAGGTAAGCACTTTGCTTGACCATATTTTTGCCTTACCCTACTAGGTGTATTTTTTTTTTAAACAGAGTTGTGATTTTATTAAAAGACTATCTTTTAGACATGATCTTACTGTGTAGTCCTGGCTAGCCTAGAACTCACTGTGTAGATCAGGCTGGCCTTGAACTCACATAGAACTGCCTACCCTCATCTCCCCATCGTTAGGATTAAAGGTATGTGCCACCATGTCTGGCCAAAGACATTTAAAAAAGATTTCACTTTGTTTATGTGTCTATTGTGTGCCCATATGAGTGTATGCCACATGTATTTGGGTACCTGAGGAGGCCAAAAGAGGTTGTCAGATCCCCTACAATTATGGTTGATTATGAGTTGCCAGATGTGGATGCTGGGAACTGAACTAGGGTCCTTTGCAAGAGCAGCAAGTACTCTTTTTTTTTTTTTTTTTTTTTTTGGTTTTTCTAGACAGGGTTTCTCTGTATTGTTTTCGAGGCTGTCGGTCCAGCCTGGCCTCGAACTCACAGAGATCCGCCTGCCTCTGCCTCCCGAGTGCTGGGATTAAAGGCGTGCGCCACCACCGCCCGGCGAGCAGCAAGTACTCTTAACTGCTGAGCCATCTCTCCAGCCTCAATCTGAAGAAACTTTTGAACATCATAAAATGTATTCCCAAATCCTGAAAAGCACTGAATTTTGAACATCCCAGGTTTGAGTCATTTCAGATACTGGATACTCAACCTACATAGTGATACTGATTCATTATGTAACTTGCATCCACTTTGACCTGGAAAGCTTACTCTGAGATGTTCCCAGAGTGAGGTAAATAGAAGGCTGTTTATGCTAGTACGAAACATTAATTCTTAAACTAGAAACATGTGGACTGGGGAGATGGCTCAGCAGGAAAGGATGCTTGCTGTTCTTCAGAGGACTCAAGTTCAGTTCACAGCACCATGGGTGACTCACAAGTCCCTGTAGCTCCAGCTCTGCGAGAACTGATGCCCTTTTCTAGTCTCTGAGGCCATCTTTCCAGCTCCTAGCTCCATGTTTTTGCTGAACTCATTTCCATTTCATCTATAAGTAGCCTGTTTGTCTTCTGGGTTTCTGAATCATTTTAGATTTTGTTGCAGAGGATTTGGGCTGCTTCTCCGGGTGGTCCTGTAGTGAGCAGGATTTGGTGAGTTTCAGGTATGTATAGGCAGGTCACACAAGTTTTGTTTCTTCTTCTAGGTTAGCAACATCAAGAAGACACTCAAAGCAACAGCATCCTCCTCAGCTCAGGAAATGGAACAACAGCTGGCTGAGCGAGAGTGCCCCCCTCATACTGAGCAGAGGCAGCCCACTAAGAAGATGTCCAAAGTGAAAGGTCTGGTCTCCAGCCGCCACTAGGGCTGGCTGGGGCAGCTGGTACTCACCAGGCCTGGGTCAGGTGGGGAGGGGATACCCAGGGCCTATTCCTCCTCTCTCTACCTGCAGTGAGTTCCAGACCTGCCCACCCCTCACCAGTACCTCCCCATCCATTGGTACCATTGTGGAAAACGAGTGCTCCTCCTTCACCTCCTTCCCTAGTTGTCCCCTTCAGACTCAGGGGCTCAATGGATGCCATGCTACCAGGGTCCGACACTGCCCAGCTTCCCTCCAGGGTTCCTTGTCTCTGTGTATGGGCTGCCTCCCTCCCAGTCGTTCTTTTGCTCCGTGTCATTTTGTCAGGCTGGTTCTAAGCTGGAGGCAGTTTACCCAGCCCTGAGGGATGACTCTGAGTGAAGAGGTGGCCTTGCTTCCCCAGCCCCATGTGCCACGGTACCCACAAAGGTGCAAGTGTCTCTAGTCAGGTAGCCACGTTGTTCCCTCTCCGGCCTTACCCCTGTTGGCAGTGCTAGTTCAGGCTGTGGAGAGATGTGGTGCTGGGCTCTGTTTACTAAACCTTTGGGTTTTCAGCCTCTTAAGCCCAGCCAGGATCTCTCACCAAGTTGGGAGCACTGGGCTGACTCACCTCTGGTGTCTGAGTATGAGTAGAGGTTGCGTGGGGTCCATGGGCGGCAGAAGGTGTTTCTCCTGGCCTGGTGTCCTCTGCTGGCCACTCCTTCTGCTGTCTTTGACTGCTCAACCTTGATTTGGCACTTAGACCCAGTTGCCCACTGGGATTATCTGCCAACATTTGCTCTCCTGAGATCTGTCATGCCTCCGGCTGCCCCTGGGGTAGGAATGGTGATGCCGAGGACCCTCAGACTGGTGAAGGACCATTGCTGCTTTTCTCTCTCCTTCCTGCCCCTCCCTGGCTGGTGACCCAGAGCCCTCTGATGACATCATACTCCTGGCCAGACAAAAGGACTTGACTAGACTTTCTGAACTTGAACAGTTTCAGGTTATATTTTAATTTTTTTTTTGTACAGGTTGATTCTAATACATTTCAACATGCTTTTTTCTCCTTTTGTGTCAATGATTGTTATAGTCTAATCGCCGGGAATTTCTCACCTGGTCGGAGGGAGGGAGGCAGTGTGTGTGAGTGTGTGTGTGTGTGTGTGTGTGTGTGTGTGTGTGTGTGTATGTATGTATGTATGTATGTTTTGTTTTTCTAAGGAGAAGTGTGTGTGTGTGTGTGTGTGTGTGTGTGTGTGTGTGTGTGTGTATGTATGTATGTATGTATGTATGTATGTATGTTGTTTTCCTAAGGGGAGGTGGAGGCCCTGAACTGATGAAAACTTCATTGAAGAAAAAGCACATTTTAGAAAAAAAGAACAGAAGTGTAGATTTGGCATATGTGACTGTGCATTATGGGGTTGTACCGGTGGGTTTGGAGAGCAGTAATTTGGGTGGTTTAGAGAATGTGACTCTGTTTTAGTAGCATAGTTAAAAAGTGGGTTGATGCAGTGTTAAAAGTATTGTTTTCCTTTTATGTTGGTCCATTTGCTGATATAACACTATGCCTAACCAAAAGTTAAGTTTGATTCCTAAAGTGTGTCTGATGAATCCCCAGATCACATCTCTATGGAAGAGGGGTCCTGTTATTAAATAAATGTGGCACTCCCTGAATCCCATATCCTCACTGGAAATTCATTACTAAGGTCTTGGAGGCATCCTGTGGCTAAAACCCATCCACACTGATTTCTCCACCAGATTTTTTTGGGTATTGGTATTCTAATGGGATACATTTTGGGCAAGTTTTGGGAAACATGTACTTCTCAAAAACCCTAAGAGATGCAGAACAATTCTCTGCTTTTCATAGAATTTTTTTCCCCATTACTCTTTCTGAACCCCAGACGGGACACTTTGTGAGCAAACTTCTGTTCATTCTTTCTTCTTCCACTGGAAAGTCTATTGGGAAATGGTTTTATTTTTAATTTAATTTAAAAACATTTTTTGAGATAGGGTTTCTCTGTGTAGCCTTGGCTGTCCTGGAACTCGCTCTGTAGACCAGGCTGTCCTGGAACTCAGAGATCTGCCTGCCTCTGGGATTAAAGGTGTGCATCATCACCACCGGGCAGGAAGTGGGATTTGTATGCCTCAGGTGCCCATTTGTTTGGCAGTCTATGACTCTAAGGGTTGTCTTCCCGGCTTGCTGCTTCCAGGAAGTGATGCTGATGACAATACACTGCCAAAGTTATGACATAATGTTCAGTCCTTTTCCAATCTTTTGATACCAGTAACGGTGTTATTGTTGTTATCTTCAGTTTACATTGGAGGAAACTCAAATATTCAAAGGGTCTGGAGGTAAGTGACAAAAAAGAAGACTCCAGATTCTAAACTTCGTGTGTCCTGCCATTATCTTGGTGTGACATTCTAGTTTAAAAATCTGCCCTCCAGCTGACCCTTGGTGTTGCCTCTGTATTGCTTGTTACTCTCTGACAACTTGTCTTTTAACTGACAACCAGCCTGAGACTCCAGAGTTTTATTTTAAAGCAGGCAGTAGTTGTTTGAGTTTTACTGAAGGACTGGACCCATTATTCTACCTAAGGTATTTGAGTGTCAAGTCTAGCAGACTTTGGGAAATTTTGTTGCACCTTCATCTTCTGGGAGTTCTTTGTGTCGTCACAAGTGTCTGTCTACTCTATAAGCCTTTTACTAGAAACTTGTAGTTGTGTTTGAAATATCTCCTTTATATCACATTTAGAGCATTAAGCGGCTTTTAAAAGTAAATTTATTTAGAGTGAGACATCTGCAGAGCAAATCATTCTTTAGTTGTGGTTCAGGATGAACTGAGTTAATAGAAATACACTAACACCAAGCACATCCACAGACCTCAACTACAAAGTTAGATCTGTACCCATTCTGTCTCCTTTCTTTACTAAATGACCTCTTTCATAGTGACTCAAGGTAGAATTTGTCCTCACCATTTGTCTAGTGTTTCTTAGGCAAGAGCTGATGCCTCATGATCAGGCCCAGGGCTGTCTTATATTTTTGGTTGTGAGCCTAGCCTTTAATGGCTGAGCCATCTCTCCAGCCCCCAGGGCTGTCTTAATGTGAAACATTTCCATCATTATAAAGGTTTTCAGGAAGCAGTTTTGTAACTTCTTTCATATCCTCCATCTTGTAGATCATATGATCTTAATTTAATTAACTTGACGAGACTTGCAGCATTATAATACATTTTCTCATTCCTTCTTTTTGGTCAAGGATACCCCTGACCTCCCACTTTCTGACAGTGTCAGCCCTTTCATTTTGAATCTTTATGTGGTAGTCAGCACTGATGAGCTCACCTGCTCTGGTGTTCTCTCAGCTTTCACAGCACGAATATCCCCAGGCCTTCCCTATGTTTCTCTGCCCGCTCTAAATTTCTTCAGGGATGTGTTTGTCACTTTCTGTTGCCATGACAAAATAACCCAAGAAAATCCATGGTCCTTGGTGTCCATTGTTTCTGGACCATGGTGGAGTAGAGCATCATGATGGAGCTGAATAGCTTACTTCTAGGCAACTGTGAAGAAAGTGAGAGCAAGGGGCCTGGGACAAGATCCATAGCCTTCTCCTCTAGTCAGGACCCATCTGCTAGCATTTCCCCCACTCCTGACATCTCTGCCATCATGGACCAAACCACAAGCCTTTGGGGTGGAGAGGACATCACAGACAGATCCCAGCTCTGGCAGAGGCAGCTTCTTTGGAGTCCTGTTGCATGTGCTTGCTAGGAGCCCATTGTGACCTTATTTTGCTTTTTATACATTCTCCATAGGTTGTGTGATTCACTCTGTGGCTCCAGTTTCACTTTTAACACCCAACTCTCCATCTGTGGCTATTCAGTGTGAAAAACATAGCCAGTTGGCCATTCCCCAGACCTGTTGTCAATAAGTGATGGTCACCATCCAAGTTTCTTCTGGTTGCCATAACAAAAGACCTCAGGCAATGTGTCTTAAACAACAGAAATTAATTTTCTCACCTCTCTGGAGCTGCAAGTCCAAGGTCAGTGTGTTGGCAGGGTTGGTTTCTCTTGAGGCCCGCCTCCTTCATGTGCAGACAGACACTCATCCTCTGGTCTTCTTTGTCCTCACAGGACCTTTTCTCTGTGTATACAGATTGAATCCTACCCTGAAGATCTCTTTGAACTTTTACCTCCTTAAACGTCCCATTTTAACACAGTCACACTGGGGTGTAGGTCTTCAGAATGAATTTAGACACAGTACAGACTGTAATAGTCATTAGCTGGTGAGAATTTGAGGTTCATCCTATTGTGTCCCTGTACTATATTTAAGTTGCATACTGACTTGTATTCTTGTTTCAAACTCACCCTTTTCCTATCTCCCTTTCCACTTCAAGCATTTGAAAGTTGGTTCATTAGCATCTTTTTTGGGTACACATTATTATTATTAGTTAGGAATGCAGCTAAAGTATGTAAGATTACAGTAGATGGAAGTCAACTGTGGTAGTTGGTACTTTTAATCCCTGCACTCTGAGTGAAGCAGGACACTAGCTTAGGGATAGCCTGGGCTACATAGTGAGTTCCGGGCCAGCCTGGGATACAAGTGTGAGCCTGTCTTAAAACAACAACAGAACAGATGGAAAGAAATTATATATATAATAGAGCAGAAATAAGCTGCAAAGTCAAAATTATAAATCTAAGCCTCTTTTTATAAAAAAAGGAAAAAAATCCTACCAAGCCAATTAACAAAGACAAATTAGCAAAGAGGCCCACAAAAGCTTAAGACTGTTAGTTTAAATATGAATGTAAATTAACGACAGTTTTCTGGAAAAGATCATAATTTATTCATGAAATAAGGAGATCAAGAAATTAAAGGTAGGAAAAGCTACTTGCTGTCAAGCCAGATGGCCTGAGTTCCATCCTCACACAGGGCCAACTCCTTCAAATTGTTCTCTGACCAACACATGTGCCCTGTGGCATGCAGGCCTACATATGGGTTCTCTCTGTCTGTCTGTCTCTCTCTCTCTCACACCCTCGCCCTGTCCCTCTTCTTCCCCCCCCTCCCCCTCCTCTCTCATTAAGTGTACTTAAAAACCAGGATTAGTGGCACACACTTTAAATTCCAGCACTTGGAAGGCAGAGGCAGGGAGATGTCTGTGAGTTCGAACCCAGCCTGGTTTACATAGTGAGTTCCAAGAGAGAGACCTTGTCTCAAAAGAGAGACAGGAGGGAAGTAGCTCACTGCTAAGAGTACAACACCCTGGTTTGATGATCACCACTGCAAAACCAGACAACAGAAAGTAAGAATCATGGAAGATACACCTTCAGGACTCTGGGCTCCTGATCCTGTTTGTTACCAAGAGTTCAGTGATTCCCTTCCATCCATAGTTGACTACGTGATTTTACAGAAAATTTAAAGTTTCAAGTTGAGTTCTACTACCAACATCCAACAAGAGTGTTTTTTCTTAAAAAAAAAAAAGAAAGAAAAAGACATTTATGGGCCAGCAGATAAAAAAATGCACTCACTATGTGGGCCTGGTAACCTAAATTGAATCCCTGAGACACATAGTGTGGAAGGAGAGAACTGACTCCATAAAATTGTTCTCTGACGTTTTGTTTGAGTATAGATGGAAATAGTTATATAAAGCTAGCCACCCCTGTCTCATGGCAAAGGACGCTTCCTTGAGATGATAAAAAACCCAGTGTATTTGAACCCAATGCACATTGCCTTTCAGTAAAAACACTAAAGCTCTTCCCACCAAAGCGGTGATCTTGATGTGCTTCCAACATAGCGAGCCCTAGTCCTGGACAGCGATGGGTGTTTTTAGCAAGAATTCTTCGTGCCTCGGTTGCTGAAGCCCCTGGAAGATGCTCTCCCCACTTGTGCCCCTTTGCTTTGGTGCACTGTGCCCAGCCTGGCTCGTCCTTGTGACTTACTTGGCAAGCACTCATCCACAAATCCAACCTTGCTGAGGAGAGTTACTCCTCCTTTGCACCTTGCTCAGCTCCTGTTACCTGCTGACCCTCATGGAGATTCGAAAGAAAATGGGCCCCAGAGGGAGTGGCACTATTAGGAGGTGTGGCCTTATTGGAGGAAGTGTGTCACTGTGGAGGCAGGCTTTGAGATCTCATATGCTCAAGATACGACCCACTTCCTGTTGCCTGCAAGATGTAGGACTCTCAGCTGCTTCTCCAGCACCATGTCTGTCGGCATACCGCCATGTCCCACCATGATGACAATAGACTGAATCTCTGAACTATAAACAAGCCACCCCAGTTGAATATTTTCCTTTCTAGGAGTAGCTGTGGTCATGGTGTCTCTTCACAGCTATAGAAACCCCAACTAAGACACAGGGCCATATGTATTATTATAATATACATACATATCTCATTACATTTTCTTGTTGACTTGTTCTCATACTCATTTGCGATTAGGGTTGTTTCTTAAATGCTGTCTTAAGTACTCCAAGTGGCCAGCAGAGGACACCAGTATACATACTGACATGGGCCAGAATCTAAGGCTTACGGGTGCATTCTGGGCAAATCCTGAGTCTAGATTTAGAAACTCAGAATAAGTGCTTAAATTCCCTGGATTGGAGTCTGTGCTTGGTTTAGGACTATAGATCTGACTTTGAAAGTTCAAGGGCCCAGTGCGATGGCTCAGCAGGTAAGAGCACTTGCTACC